TTTTTTTTTTTTTTTTTTTTTTTTTTTTTTTTTTTTTTTTTTTTGTATTATTAACTAATCTAATTATCGTCAGAAAATTAGTAAGATAATTAAACCAGAATACATGCGCGTCGGCGTGCTAGCGAGTTCGTCATTTACAAGCAGAATTATTCATATCACTGCGTAAAATCTAACGACGTCTAGTTTAGATCAGTTTTAGCTCGATGACTCCTAGCCATTTGACTTCTGCAATGTGTCGGGATACTTAGAGACAGAAAAACTTTTTTTTTTTTTCTTACGCCTGTGCCGCAAGCAACACGGTAATATAATGTTATCTCTCTTCTAGAACAGATTCGGTAAAACGGACTTTGTCATTTAACGCATGTCATTTCTCCAATCAAAGAATAAAAATTATCGAAAAAAACTCGACTATAAACTATAAATAATATTAACGAGTTTATTAGTTAACACGTCTGACTGTCACGCGCGAGATTTGTCGATTGTCATTCAACAATCGAGAAAAATGTTGTTGATTGTTGAATGTTCGTTCGCGTCGCGAACAAACTGCGATCTTTTATTACTTTGTCAAGACGAAAACACATATCCGTGCTGTTTTAAAAACGTATTTTTTTTTATTTTTTTAAATATTTTTTTAAAGATTTATTGCCGTTTCTCACGTCGAATCAAATCGCAGTATTGTCTACGAATGATTCATCTTGGGCGATTGTCGCGTTATTTGTATACAAGATTTGTTGTGTAAGTGTTAAAAAAAAACCGTGCGGCTTACGTAATCCTCGACGTGGAAGTCAACGTGTTATAATGAGTATCAAACGAACTATCTTTATCAATCATTTGGACTTGAAAGGCCTAAATCTTCGCTAACGATTGATCGCAATACCGAACTTATTTTTTTTTTCTTTTTTTTTTTTGTTTCGTCTTTTTCAGTAAGCAATCATCCTACCGTTTCTGATTCTCTCGCTCTGATGGTTTTTTGATTTGATAATGCAAAACTATATTTTTTTTTTTTTTTTTAGTTTCGAGGATGTCTTGATTGAGTCTGATGCTTGGCACATGCAATAGCAGAAATTTATTGTGATATTCGCGCACGTTTGGTCTCGCGATGTGCGATACGTATTAGAAATATACAAATTTTGTATTGAAAATTTATATATATTGACGATATGTATCGCATGTGCGTGGAGATTTATATATGAATGTGTAATCGTTGCAACGTGTAATGACAAAGTTGTCCTTTGCGCAATGCTTCACATCGTTTGCTTTACAAAACAAAAACATTGTTACAAACAAGCTCCTAGAATTTCTCTTTATATATATAGAGTGTATAAAAAAACAAAAAAAACAAAAAAAAAAAAAACAAAAGAAAGAAGTACCATTAAAGATATGGTGATTATGTCTGAGTTCAAAAGTGGTATCGATTGAAAACAAAAATTGCCCTCTACATTTCGTTCATTTTTCGCAACGCTCGAAAATCGTACACACAAACTAAATCTCTCTCTTTTTATTTTTAGTATGAAAAAAAATTTATATATATATACATGTAAAATTACATAAAAAGCGACGTTACAAAGAGACAAGTATCTTACGTTCTCGACGTGAGCATAGACTGCTGCATTTATTGTTTTCCCGAGACAGTACATCGTATTACAAAAAGAAAAAAACAAAAAAATTTAAGAGTAAAGCTGATCGTATATATATATATATATATTTAAAAAAGTCTTATATACATATATATATATATATATATACATATAATATACATACGTGTACATAAATGCCTGTATTTCATTCACCCATGTTTAAAAAAAGAAGAAGAAGAAACCTCTGTGTAAATTTTCTTAAGAATCGTAAGTTTAATGAAGTCTAAGAGAGGGAGAGAAAGAAACGAAAAAAAAAAAAAAAAGATTCTTGTATTATAATATAGATTGTGACAAGACATTGAAGTTGCAAAAGAAACGGATTTTTGTAATTTATAATTTAACTGGTTGTTCTCGGCGCGCGCGCGCGAGAGAGAGAAAGAGAGAGAGAGAGAGAGGAAAGGAAGGGAATATACACACACATACTGAGAAACGGCTTCGTCTTATTATTACAAAAAAAAAAAAACGACCGTTTGAGGGAGGAAGATAGCTGTAAAAGAATTATGATAATGGACCCTTATGCGAGCCTCTATTATGTATTTTATATATAAATATATATATAAAAATATATATATATATAAACAAGTTTAATAGCTGAACGTTTTTAGGAGGACGGAAATCTTGTGAGAGGCTTTTTATTTTTATTATTTGTAATTACCTAGTTTACATGTTCACCGTTTCGTACGATCATCGAGATCAATAAATAAACATCTGTGTAAAGGAATAAAAGAACGATATAATAAAATTACTAAATACGAAGGAGAAAAAAAATATGGAAAAAAAAAAAAAACAAAAAATATATACATACGAAATGATCTTTTGTGGTTGTTCCTTCTCTGTGTTGTGTTGCATGATAAAATTAACGAGCAAATTTGTCGAGGAACAAACAAGCGAACAACAGAGATCTTGGTCGCCGCCCCCTCCGGTAATCGTTTGCACGTACGTATATATGTATTATATAAAAAGTTTAAATAATATACTGGATAAGAAGTTTAAAAAGTCTATGCATATACCTTTCATCACTCTTTGAGTTGTTTTCTACCTTGAATAACTAAAATAATTTTTTTTATACAACAGGGATAGTAAGAAAGGATTACGATAGATCTGTGTAAAAAGAGTTTTATTGCTAAAATCAGTCGTACAAAAGCTTAACAATTATATATTTGTACTTCTCTCTCGGACATTACCGAGATAAATATTTTGATTTTAATTTTGCACGTATCAAAAGTTTGCTGCTTAAAATTTGTCGTATTCTTTGATTTTTTTAATTGCAAAAATTCGGGCTTCACAAAATCACCCGCACTACATATTTGGTCTCTTCTCTCTAATTTCACATCTCTATATTCATTTTGTCGTTTTCTCATTTCATTGTGCCATCGAACGCACGTACGTTCGAATTGTTATTGAATAAAATTTCCTCAGTTTAATAAATAAAAGTTTTTAAAGTTTAATACAATTCTCAGTTTTGCACTAAACCACAATCAATATAGTTTTATCGAAGACTCGAACGTGAGAGAAAAAAATTTATACAGTCGCTCAGAATAAAATTGTTCGTGCGCAGAAAATTTAATAACAATTAAACTACTATAAATTTCAAAATTTCAATATTCTGGTCTCACAGCAAGGACCCCGAAGTTACCTCATGCAAAATTTTAATCATTTTCTACGATTAAATTTAGGAGAGACAACCGTTTTTGTGCCCGAGATGGTCGTTTTCTCCGCTCTCTTTAACCGAAAAGTTAGGGGCCGAGACATTTTTGCCGCTGTAGCAGAATTTTATTTTCTGTTACCGGGATCGCAGAAAGCGACGAGAGCTCTGTTACCAGGGTGTAGTAGAGGAAAGAGGCGGACCGACAATTTAGCAGACAACTTTGCGATATTGAACGACTATAGGGTTGAGGAAAGTGGCACTGAAATGTCCGGTTTGTCGGTAAATTCCGGCGGAAAGATTCAACTTTCGCAGCAGGATCGCAGAAAGTGACAAGAGCTTCGCTACGAGAGGAGCAGCTGAGGGAAGAGGTGAATCGACTCGACCGATAACGTCGCGATATCGAAAGAGCATAAATTGAAACAAAAAGTGGCGCTAAACAATCGGAGAGACGCTCTCGGAACAAAATTGAAAAATTCAACTCGAATGTTTTGACGAGCGATCGTCGAGGTTTCTGGGACTCTCCGAAGTTTCGAGTTCTTCGATAAAACTCTGATTCACATTAAAAAATCTTTTTCTCGTATAAATAATATCTCTTTAACATTTATTAATTAATTCTGATTATATCAAAATTGATTAAATTTCATTTTATATATATATCGTGTGTTTCTGTTCAAATCTTTTATATACAACATTTATAATTTAGTTTCTTTCACATATGTACAGGTACCTTGTTTTTCATTTGTTCCGCTGTGTCGTAAGTTTTTAATCGCGCTTAATGATTATTCGCGTCTTGAGATTACGTTTTTTGATAATACAGAGAGAAATCTCATTTTATATCTTGCTGTATATGTTCAAAAAAAAAAAAAAATCGTTTAATAGTTGCTCTTTTCCAATGCGCGTTCTCTTTCCAAAATTACTCACGGAGTACTCTCTCGTGCTCCTTCGGTTTTGTCATAAAATGCGCGTCTAATTACTTCGCTTGTCTCTTCTTCTCTTTTTTAAATTGCAGAGGCGCGCGCGTTTGCGATGTTTCGCCATCACGCTTTTCCAGCTGCGAATGTCTGTCTATTGGTTCAAGAGACACGATGTACACGTGGGTGCCTTATATGACTAAGTTTAAGTCTACGTTGAAACTGTCCGGAGACGAATTTAACGACCTGCAAAAACAAAGCAGAGAAGACGGGAGTCAGTTGTGACACGTGTGCGTGTTATTCGTCATCAGTTTGCCACGTTGAAACATTGTCAATATTCTCTTGAACAAACAAATTTATATACAATCCTTTTCCCCTTGATCTCCTCATCAGATAACTCCCGGCTAGATAAATTAGATGCAACATCACACATAAAAAATTATATTTCCAAAAAGAAGTAAAGATTCTTACAAAGGTACTCGATACCGTAAAAAGAGCATTGTCGCGTTGTCAGTCGATCCTTTCGCGCGAGGAATCGTTCGATCTATTATTGTCCGAGTCGTTGGAGGACTCGCGCTGCGTAAAATACGCGGGACACGGTATGACGGTCGTGGGCGAGACGGGTTTTCTGAAGGAACATCGGCACTCGAGATGCATCGTTGCGACTCGATCGCGCGTACACGCGAATCTCGGGATCGCGGTGTACGGTTTCTTCAGCCAGTTCACTGCTTGCCTGACGGAATCGGTGCTAATCAATCACAGATTATTGATACCGGAGCACGCTCGCGCTACACGTGTGTGAGAGAGTTAGTGACCGACTCTACCTGGACACCTCGGAGGCGACACTTTCGTTGTTGGTAGAGGACGATCTACCATCCGGAAAAACGGTCGCGTGATCTTGGAGCGCGTCTGGTCGTTGGAGAACCCTCTCGGATTCTTGGGAATTTCTAAACGTGAGAACGAGATGGGCAAACAAAGTTCGAGACGGGACGCGAGAAAGTATAAACGAGAAGAGAAGAAAGAAAGAACGCGCTTGTAATTTGTTAGCCAGCGCAACGTACCTGCGACTCTCCTCTTCCTTTCTCGCGCGATCGAATCTCTCGTTGGTAACTTGTCGGCGGAGCTCGCTGATCTGCTTGCTGTATTCCGCCGCCTGATTCTGATACTGTCTGAGCTCCGCGGATTCTGACGCTCTGCGTGTAATCGCAAGAAAGATTAAAAAAAAAAAAAAAACTAGTGCGATGTAAAAACAAAAATTACACGAGGACAGAAACAAGCAAGTGAGATATACGCACAGTTTACTTTGAAGTTCGGCGACTTTCTGTCTCAACCTGGAGATCTCGTTTTGCAGTTCCTGATTGGTGGCTTGCGCGTTGATGGATTCCTGTCTCGCTTGGTCCAGAAGAGCTTCCAGTCGTTCCACAGTCACGCGATCTCTGGTCATCTGATCTTCAAGGATGGTCTGCTCGGCTTTCAGTTTCGACAACTGCGCTTCGTACTACGCAAGAGAGTCGGAAAACTTCGGTAGGTCGCGCGTAATAAACGTCGAAAACACGATGATGAAAAAAAAAAAAGGTTCAAGTGAATTTACATGCGCTTTCAAGGTGTCCTTGTCACCGAGTTGCCCCATAAGCGAGTCCTTCTGCTGATCGAGCTTCACGCACAGGTCACGAACCGCCAGCAGATCGGCCTCGGCTCGGTGTTTCTGCTCGATTTGCTGGCGCAACTGCGACTCCATGCTGGCGACGCTTTGCGTCAAATTGCTTATCTGCGGACGTTAGTCAGAACTCGGATTTTTTTTTTTGTTTTATTTCAAAACTTTTCACCCCAAATTTCCTAATTAACGATTTCAATCGAATCGGTTCTATAGAGCGGAGTATCGTCGCAAGACGGAATTCCTCGCGTCTTCCGAACGCGAGAAGACAGAAGAGATACCTGAGTTTCGTAGCCCTTCACCAAAGTGTCCCTGTCCGCCAGCTGACGCTCCAGATCGAGTATCTGATGTCTTGCGGTTTGAAGAGCGCCACGGACTTCCGCCGCCTCGGATTCCAGACTGTGATTGTTGTTCTCCAAGACCGTCGCTTCCAGACTGAGACTTCGGAAATGATTCAACATTTCCGTTCTCTCGTTCTCCTGAGAAGAAAAACAAAAACACGAGTCGAGAAGAACAAGCGAGACGTTCGGTTATGTGAAAAGACACACTATATATTTCCACGGATCTACTTACCTTTCGGTTCAAGAGTTCCTCGGCGCGTCGCACCTCGCTGACGTAGGTCTGCAGCTGTCTCTTCAGATCGTGACACTCGGCGTTCGAGGCCTCGAGCTCGTGCTGCATGTTTCGCACCTCGCAGCTCACCGCCGCAAGATCGTCCTGCAGCTTTCGATTCTCGTGTATCGCGTTCTCGCGATCGGCCGACGCGGACTCCAACTGCCGCTGCAGCGTCTCCATCTCCAGACGCAGCGATCGCAGCTGACGCTCCTGCTCCGCGCTCTGATCGATGCATATTCTAAAATTGACAATTCGTCGTTGAACGGACGGAAGCAGACAAGTTGGATAAGTATTTTTTTTTTTTTTTTTATAATGCAATATAATTTTTATTAAAATATTCTTAAGATATTCTTTGCAATTCTTTGTTGTGATGTTGCGCGCGGAAACGCAATCGCACGTTTAATCAGCGATCACTTATGCGGATCAGGCGCCCGCGTTCTTCCCCATGGCGTAAGTCTCGAAAGAGGACAAGGGCGAGATCAAATTAGGAGTCTATCGTTACCGAAGTTGCGCAACTCCTCCGAGCACTTGTACGTGATTTGATTGTCGTCGTTTCTACTCATCGAATTTTTCACATATTGCGTGCAATCGTTTTTATCGTCGAGGAGCAACAACTTACACTACATACAAACAACCACGTCGGATCAAATTGAACGTAAAAAAAAAAAACAACTGCGAGATGAGCTCTTTAAGGGAGAACTGGAAGAAGCGGATCGGCGGCTTTCTTCGCGGAAAACGTTCGCTCAACGAAAGTCGATCGTTTCTCGACTCTCGATAGAACTTTGACAGAAGAAAACAAACGTCCCCGTGGACGACGCGTCGATCATCGATCATCCGCGCGGCGATTACGCGCGCCGCAACTTGCGTAATCGCGGGTATTTGCGCGAGCGCGTGAAAAAAAAAAAAAAAAAAGATCTGGACGCCGGGCGACTTTCTCTAGTCTCTCTCTTGAGCCTTTCCTTCTCGGCGGCAGCTTCCCGCGGAGGATCTGGGTCCGAGTACGAAAGTGAAAACATTTCGCCACGTGCGTGACTCGGAGAAGGAAAGCCTTTTCCAACGACGGTGACTCGACGTGTTTTCCGCCGGGACAAACGTAATCCGCGTGATGGTTCCGCTTGAAAAAAAACATTCTTTCCACTCGGAATCGACAAAACTGAAACGTTTCGCGTTGGAAAGAACGGAACGAGACACGGGATCGATGACAAAAGTTTTTCAACGTGTGAAAAACTCTCGATGATTCACAGAAGACGGAAAACGAGGGTCGTCACGGCGCGTCGTTTCTCAGCTCCCCCGAGCCGAGAAACTATTTTGTTATCTCGATAATCTCGAGAAGGGGAGGAGGGGGGGGCAACACTATGGGCTATAATCAATTTTCTCCCACGGTTTCGATCGCGTGCGCGGCGATTCATCGCCTGGGAGCGGATTATATCGCCTCGCGATATAAATGACAATGGAAATTATGTCACGGATGCCACAACGGACGCCCGCGCGAAGAGCGCTCGAAGAAGTAATTTCCGTTTGCGTCCACAAGAGAGTGGCTATCGAAACGAAGATGTTTTAAATTTTTTTCCTCGCACGACAGGGAAAGAGAAGATGACACAGAGAGTTTCTTCGTCGTCGCGTGTGCGATGACGAAACTTCAAGCTGTGAAAACGCGACATCGGCAAACGTCGTTAACCAGTTTTTCTTCTCTCTCATTCCGGACGCGGAAGAATTCGTTTCGACAACCAGACGCGCGAATAAAAAAAAAGTCGTCGCTCGTTGAATGTTCGCGATATCGCAAATAATCAACACGTGATTCAATCGAGCTCGAGAAGTTCATTCGCGCATTACCGATTATCGCTCGATTATTGCCCGCGGTCTTCCTCCTTCAAATTCTTCCGACCCCTTGCGTTTCACTCTCTCCTCTCTCGCGACACACAGAAGGAAAGTTCGCGACGATGCACGGTGCAAGGGAAAAGTACCCATAGAAAGCCTGTCACAAGTGCTCTACAAAACGGTTCTCTTTTAATGCATGCGAGAGATGTTCCTCGCGACATCGGCTTGCTTCGCTTCTAATTACCTCCCCCCCCGCCGAAGCTCCTTCGAGAATCGGCTCGCTCCAATTCAAGTATTACCGAAACCGAAAGCGCGACGATTCGATCGATCGCAATTACGATAATTTATCAGCGAAATTCCTGGCCGACGTCAAAGGAGAGGAAAAAAAAACTTTGAAACGTCAAATGTGAAAGTTGCGAGAGATAGACGGTAAGATAATCCCCCAATGACAAATCGGATTTTCTATCTCCTTTACAATCCTTCGAACGGATAAAAGTTGCGGAGTAAAGTTCAAGTCTGGCGCAATGAAATCGAACGACCTGTGTGTGTGTGTGTGTGTGTGTGAAACGTCCGTTTTCTAACACAAATGAATTTTAATTTTCGAAATTACAAGCGTAGCGTTGAGCGTTTCACGTCGTTCGATTCGTTGGATCATCACGAAGATTCGATCTCGACGCGGGCGAGTCCAACGTCTTTGTGTTATGTTCGGCTCAAGAGAGAGAGATTGCGCAACGCGAAGCGCGTTCTTTTCTCGAAGTTCCTCCCTAGTTTGTACGGCGTTCCCGTTACGCAGGCAAAGGGCATTGCACGTTTCCTCGAAACCAAAGTCACGTGCGGCGGTGAGAGGAGATGACGCGGCGGTGTGCGAGAGAAGCAACCGCGCTTTGCCATCCCGAGACGGGCGAGATTAGCATCGGGCGTTCAATACTCAAACGAAATATCGCTCCTCCGCATTTCCCGAACTAGTCTGTGAAACAAATGAAAGAATCGCAGTAGAGCGAAACTGAATAAAAAAAATTACATATTTCATTAAAAAAAACACGTACGTCAAAATTGTGAACGAGTTGGCAACTTCTGACTGCGCTGTCGAAGTGAATTTTTAATAGTTTCAATGTTTTTTTGTTCCGCGTATAAAATACAATATCTGTCGAAATTTCACTTGGGAATGGAATGTCCAAGTTCCACGGGACGATAATTCAAAATTCGTTGGCGCAACACGCGTTGTTGTTGCGACGAGTCGGTTGCCCCACGAGATATTTGAATCATTCCCGCAAGTCCCTTGACGCGCACCGGTGCTCGAACGGGTGTTGTCAAGATTGTTGCTTCCCGTTACCGGATCTCTCTCTCTCTCTGGCCTTTCGGACGCCAGAGTCCCGGTATCGGGTTATGCAATAGTTTTCGATAAAGAAGCCCGCACGCAACGGTCGCACGGCTCGTAACGATCCGCGCCGCCTGACGTACGATCGCGCGGTGCGCGTGTTTCGGGAGGTCGAACGACGATGAAAGTCGTCCCTCCCGGTGATTTAGCTCGAGACGTTGCGCGAAAGTGTCGCAACGGCGAAGAAGTTTTTTTTTTTTAGGAAAATCTCGTCAGCGAGGACGATATTGCGTAAAACAAATCAAAACAAAAAAAATCTAGCAAAACCAGTTTTGTTTTTATCTTATTTACCATCGAGTAAAATACCACAACGATAGTATGTTTTTTTACACACCAAAGTTTATTTATATTCGACGAGCGAGAAATCAAATTGCGCGGGAATGATATCGTTGAATCTGCGCGCGGAAATATGCGTTTCGAAATCTCACGTCTGAAACGTGATCGATTTTTCTTCTTCGCGAACAAAAAAGGTAAAAAATAAGAGACACTCGTCGTTGTCGTTCTCTCCGAGCCGGATACAAAATCGCACGCAACGTGCGCTCCAAATATAGTCGTCGCATTGTGTCAGCGCGGATAATAAACACACGTGTGCGTCTCTCTTGCGTGCGTATATCTCCGGACTATCGAGCGATCGACGTGGTTACACCAATACGTTGAACCAATTCTTTCTAGACGTGACAATGAGCGGATGACCTGATCCGAAAAGCACAATTAACGTAATTGATTAATATAATAAGTAAAATAAAAATAAAAATAAAAATAAAAATAAAATTGATATAAAATAAAAAATATATAAAAGTACAAAAATATGTACGTGTTTTATATTTTTATTTATTTTTAGTAAAAAATTTATTTGACACTTTAACGTCTTAAACAAAATGTCTCCTGTGCTCCGATCATCGTTGCCGACTGAAAAGCTCGGCGACGGAGGAACGTTCCATCGCGAGGCGCACAGATTGAATTTCGCAAATGACACATCCCGAAAAGTGTAATAATCGTCGCGGTAATCAAGCGTGAATTAAATAACCGCACTCGCCGTCCGGCTCGGACGTGCGTAATAAAACGTGAAAGGTCATCACATCGCGGGAATAACGAAAAAGGACGGGTGGTTTTTCCCCCCCGATATTAGTCAGAGGATTGTGTGTCCCATCGGGGGCGACGGATTCGGCTCCCGGACTCGATCGAGAGTTAGGTAACAACGCGGCGTAGAACCGCGAGATCGGGACGAGCGCGGGTCAGTCTTGTCGAGCTTCCCGCGGCGATCGGACCGACGTAACGCGCGGGGTTCTTGAGATGCGGAGGACCGGCAAATCGCCGAGAGAGCGAAAATACATTGGGAAAACGGTGACGTGACACACAGCTCGGTCGAGTCGATGAGCGGACACATTGTGAAGACCATGTCGAGGTACGTGTGATGATGCCACCGGGTGTAATATCAAATCGATGAGAAAAACACGCGGATGAGAGCGCGTCGCGAATATAATCGACGTTTGATGACGTATCTTTTAAAGATCAAACGACAGTTGCGCGAAGAACGCAGCTTCCTTGAAAGGTTGAGTTATATTGACATTTAATATAACGACATTTAATTCCTTTCACCGATCATCGGAAGATGGAGAGACGCGCGAAAGGACACGCGATGATGGAGTATCTTTTTACAATCTGACATCCTTGATTCTCGACTGTCTCCGGAATCCTATTGTTTTTTGTACAATTCAACCTGCATAAGATCACAAAAGTAAATTAAAAAGCACGTTCCACACGCGAAATCGATCGTTGCGGTGCAGAAATAAACTTCTATAATTGCGATTGGAATCTGCTCCGATAAAAATTTCATCACTGGCCGAAATAATATTCGTTTTTAAATAATAAAGACGCTGTTCAACAAATGAGCTCGATACTCAAAATAAAAATATTACGTTGTCATAAATATATATTAAATTTTAGTTAAATAAATGTTATATCGTCTTGAGCGTACCGGTACTAAATTTCTGTAGTAAAAACAAAATTATATATAAAAATACGCATTACGTGTTTACGAGAGCGTGGACTTAATCGAATCACGAAGCGAGTTTCAAATGACCAAAAAGCGCGCGAGCACATTATGTAATCCCATGTTGTTTACGTTGCGCGATTTCTGCGCGGATTGATTACAACGAAATGTGTATATTAGCTTTCCTTTTTTTTTTTTTCCACAAGGAACGCGCAAAATCATCCGCTTGATTATATAAGCGCGATTTTAATTACAACTCAGTTGCAGTTCGAAAACACATCCTTTTCCCTAGCGTAACGCAAAATTGCGAACGACGAGCGATCGGTTTGCGCGCGCGTGTGTGCGTGTGTGTGTGGGGGCGTGTGTGTGCGCTCGCTGGCGAGACGACGAGTGTAATAACTAGTCTAACAATTTTGAGACACGGAAAAGAGAGACGGAGAAAGTGCATCCTGGCGAGGAAAAGTATAAAATTACGGTGAATAAATAATTGCGACGAAAATGCGTCGCGAGGAAGCGCGTCACGGGTGTGAAGAAACATCGCAAATTGGTGTCGCGAAATTTGCGCGCTAACGGCGCGAATTAATGAAACGATTTCGGAAATGTTTCTCTCAGAATTTCTCGTCCTCTCAACCAAAATTATCCCGTCTCCGAGCGTATCTCACGCGCAATTACATTTAACGTGCAATATTGTTTATATATAATTAACATTAAGTAATTATAATTACTTTATAATTACTTAAGTGATAATTACTTGAGTGAAGTATAATTTTTCGTGCAATTACACGCGTCGTTGAAATTAAACTCACATTTCGACGGGGAAATAAAATCGCCACGAAATTCCTTTCGTTATACCGACACGCGCTCACGTACGTAACGAACAAACGAACGGTGAAACCTTCGGTAAGAGCCGATAAAAAAAAAAAAAAACTATATAAAATTATGCAATATGCCCACGTTGCATAATTTTCGCGGCGCGGCCGCGGTACGGCGAATGTCATCGCCGCGAGCGGCAATATAAAGAACACGTCGAAATTCCGCGTGACGGCGCGATATCGCTGAAATTTCCGACGCTCGTTAGAAGATCGATCGGAGGAGACACACGCATGACGACACACGGAAATTCACCTGGCGAACCAGAAATTTCGCGCGATTTCCTCAAGGTCACGCCGTCGAGAGCTTTCATCGAGAGCGAACCAGTTTACTTCCGATCGAATATAATATAATAAAAATTTCACGCTCCTGTTCCTTCTCTCGGAGGATCTCCCGCGCGAGATTCCCCCTGCGCGTGAAAGTTCTGACGTAACTCTCGCCCCCGCTTGAACGAAACGCTAATTAGAGACGATTGTGCAACGGAAACACAACTCGCCGCAGCTTGAGGTTCGCACCTGCGATCAATCAAGGGAATCTTGTACCGGTGTTACACGCGCGGATGATAATCTACGAAGTACCGGTTTCGTTCACGCTCGGCTGTTAAACCGATTCGGCGCGCGATGTTAATTACACACATATATACACACACACACACATAGGAAAAAAAAAACGCGCTTTTCCGTGTTGCTAAACTTATCTCGTGTTCGAGGAGCGCGACGCGATGATACAATTGATTTCACGATACGATGCGCTCTGTTGAAATTGTCTCGCGATTGTTTCGTCTCTCAACCCGCGCTTTGACGAATCCGGCGACGAGTCCGAATCGGTCGCGCTCGGAACCGCGCGTCCGCAGGTCTAACAAGCAATTAGCAAAATCACATCACAGGGATAAAAAAAATCGTCGGTCCTTGGTAATTCCGCGGTGGAAAGTCGCGGAAGAGAGAGACGCTGCCTCACGCTGTTTAATTACTTCCTCGATTTTTGAAAAGAAAAAAAAAAGGAGAAAGACACACACACGAGAGTGTGTCTCCGCGTCTCTCTCTCTCTCTCTCTCTATCTCTCGGCAAGCCGCGCTGCAACATTCCAATGAGATTTCTATGTAACTGCAATCAATATGAAATAACATAATGGAGACGGAGAGTAAATGTCTATGTTCGCGCGCTCGCGCGAGAGGCGAAAGAGAGAAACGAAAAGAGAAAAGACCGTTTTTGCTTTCCGCGACGCGGAGAGCATTCGTATGTGCGTGCCGGGCGTGTGTGTTTTTTTTATTCCGCGCACGTGTCGTCATATCCTAGGACCTGCCGCCAGGGACAATGCCATTGCCATAGTGAAACAGTGAAAGTATGGTCATTTTGCCCTCGTCCGACTCTTCCCACTTGTGCTCGCGTGCACGCACGACATGCACGCACGCATCGACACCTCACGAATAGTCCCGTTTTGAACGTCGTCGTCGTCACTCCGTCCGTTTCTCGCGACTCGGTGAAATTTATTTATTATCTCTCGGTACCCGCGCCGAAGATGAGATGTGAGATTCTCCGTCGTTCGTGCGATCGTCAATTCACGGTTCGTGTTGTTCGTCTTCTTGCGCTCTTGATTGTGAAAAAAAAAAAAATTAATTTTTTCTCTTAAAATAATTATTTCAAGAGAAATTATTTATATAAATTATTTTGTTTCGAGCGCAGAGATTGAAGTTGTTAAATCCTGACGATTTTCAGCGCGATGCGGATTCTCCTAGGAAGCGTCGTCTGTCTTCTGTCGGTGGTGAGCGCGAGGACCGCGATAATGCCTCCGCCGTGGGCCGATCCCGCGAGCAATCCGTGCGCCGCGCAACCGCGCGGCTGGCAGTTGCTCTACTGGCCGGCCGATGGAAAGTGCTACAAAATATTCCAGGCAAGTGCCAATTCTCTCTTGTCGCTTCATTTCATTTCAATAGTTTTGAATATTTCAAAAAGATACGATGTCTGAGACATTTTTCGCAGATCGGCGCTCCGTGTCCGGAAACCATGGAATTGGCGCCCGCCGCGGGCGACGGAACTACCGCGGAATGCAGATGTCCTCCGGGCACCGCTCAGTCGCCCAGAGACGCGCTCTGCCATCCGATATTCACGAGAGCGTCCTGCACCAAGGGTCAGTTCTTCGCGCCGGTTCCCGTCGCGCCTGGTAAATCGAGGTAACTCGAAATAACAATTTCTTCTTGTTTCGCTGACGAGAGAAAAACCAACGTGCTCAACGGCAATCTCTTTAGTTCGAGGAAACGATGGGGAATCTGTCGCGATCCCGAGCCCTGCGCCGAGCAGAGCGAGATCTACTGGCCGAGGGACGACAAGTGTTACCCGAGACTCAGCAGAGGACCCTGCCCGCGCGGCGAGCTTCTCGTCACGGGCGAGGACGGGCTGGCGATCTGCTCGTGCTCGACAATCGGCGAATTGAGCAGATATCACTGGCTGGGCGGCAACGGCGGCTGCCACGAGCACTACACCAAGGGCCCGTGTTCGGAACCGGGGGAACTGTTTCTGCCCGGCGGCACGTGCGGCTGTAACTCTCAACTACCTCACTATCACGAATCAAGTGGAATGTGTTACCAATTAGGTACAATTATCGTATTGTATTTGATCTTGTATTTTTTTTTTTTTCGCATCTTTCTGGCAATATTTTGATGAATGTTTTCGACATGACGTGATTTGCAGGAAGCGTCGGTCCGTGTCCGCAGGGACACCACTTCGTGGTGACCTCGGACCCCCGATCGTCGCAGGAGGACGTTGTGCGCGCGAGATGTGTGTGCAAGTCTGGTCACGTGTTGTACAAGGACGGAGTCTGCTATCGACTGCACACGAGGGGACCTTGCGAGGACGGCCACATGCTGATTAACTCGACGACCTGTGTGCCCGTGCCCTGCAAGCGCGGCAGGCTCTACTTTCCCCAAGAGAAGACCTGCTACAAGATCGGCACCAGGGGACCGTGTCCGAACGGTCAGATCGTCCTATACGATTACAACGTGAGGCCGTCCCTCGACGGGATCAGTTACAACGGGGTGTGCGGCTGCACCAACGTCTTGCGAGACACCGGTAGATGCGTGACGGACGACAGCGACGACTGCGAGAGCACGCCGGGCATGGTCATGATCAACCGAATCTGTTACAAACTGTACACGCAGGGTCCGTGCTCCGCGGGCGAATGGTTGGTCGCTCAAAGAATGCCGAGAAGTTTGAGTCTTTGGCAAGACGGCGAGCCGCGCAAGCCGAAGGCCAGATGCGAATGCCGACCCGGCTACAAGAGAATCGTCGAGACCTCGAATGAGGCTGCGGACGAGTTGCTGGAGAGCAACAGTCTGATCTCATCGAACGGCTGCCAGCCGCCGGCGGTGAGCCTGGCGAAGTTTCTCAACGACAATGTCAAGTTGAGAATAGTCTGAATAGCTCAGTGAATCGTTGTGCGCTAAACTCGCGATACATTTGATTATTTACTTAATGATGATGAAACAGTGTGAGATGTGTTCAGTTAAGACAATGGGTTCTGTACGAATTATCTTTTATAGTCGTTTAAGCTTATCATTTAGTTGAGCGAAGTCTGTATTTATTGCGCTCTGTGTATCGAGCGTTATGTAAATATCGTTTAGCGTGACCATGACCACTTGTAAAACTTAAAGTCTCTCTCTCTCTCGAGAGAGAGAGAGAGACAGAGAAATGTGCCACTTTTTATAGAAACGACCTAACGGAGAAGAGAATTATAATAAACAAAATTTTTAGATGTAACTCACTCGTTTTTGTGCTGCAAGTCGCGGATTTGTTGCTGCAGACCTTCCGCTTGCTGATCCTTGCGCACCAGTTCTCGCTCCATCGCGTCGATCTTTTCCGTTTTTTCGTCCAATGCCATCTGCAGTAGTTAAAAAATATGTACATTCATTGTGATTCCCTAAATGATGACGAGCGATTAAAGCGGCACACTGTAATATCTTACCACTAGTCGATCCTTTTCCTGATCCAAGAGCGTCATATTCATGCGCAGAGTATTGATCTCTTGCTTCAGCTCTTTGATTTGATCGTTCAGCTGCGTCTGTTGTTGTTCCATACTTTTGTTGCGATCCAGAGCTTTGTTCAACTCGGATTCCGCGTGCGACAGCTGGCCCTGAACATCTCCGAGCGCTTGATCCGTTTGATCTTGCAGCGTTCTGCTCGCACAAACACACAATTGTTTGTTATAGAAATTAACATTAGCGTGATTCTAATTTTACAAACAGCACTACCGTAGTTGGAAGTATTGCGTCCGTTGCGCCATTAACTCCTGCTTTGTGCGACGTAGTTCCTCCTGCGCGTCGATCAACTGATCCTCGAGGCCGTTTATCGCTGCCCTTCTGTTGCCCTGATTGACCAGCAAATCTTGCCGTTCCTTCTCCATTTGCTTCAATCGGCTCTCCGCTTCGGCCAAGCTCTCCTTCAGACGAAAATTCTCGGACGTATGCGTTTCCGACATCATCTGTGCGCCGACATCCGAACGCGAAGCCAAGAGTTTGTTAAAAATATACGATCACATGCGTTGTCGTTAGATGCGTACAACAATTGGTAACATTGCGCGCAACGTAAATTATTAATTTAACGTACTATAAAATTAAAAGAAAATCAACGGGGAACGGAATAAGAGAAAGGTTTAATGAATAAATGAGTGATAATTTTTTTCCTCTCCACTCTACCTTGAGCCTTTCGCGTAACGCGTCACGTTCCTCTATCAGACGCTCGACGTCCGCCCTGGCCGTGTCCCGCTCTCGTTCCAGACGGTCGACAATCGTCTGCGCAAATTTTCAACAAGTGAGCAAAAAGCGTATCTTCGCAAACTGTAGTTTTTCGCACTTGAACAAACCTTGGTCGCGCCAATGTCCGCAGTGGTTTTCGCCGCACCGGGGGGCGAGCAGGTGCACAAGCGAACGGGTTTGCACAAGCTGCACGATCTGCAAGGCACGCAGAGCTTGTTTGGCTGACCCCCCTTGTAAGCCTGCAATCTCGCTTCCAGTTCCTGTTTCTCGTGACACAATTCGTCCCTCTCCCGCAGCGCTTTGCTCAACGCTCGATCCCTGTCGCTCAGCTCGCGCTGAAGCTCGCGGATTCGCGTCCATAAGTCGTCCTAGAAGAACGCGTTACAACATCAAACTATAATTTTTCAATTCTGTAATCGTTTTCGGATCAGATTGTGTATATTACGAAACAACTCAAAATAATTTCGCGCATAATTCAATGTTTTTTAGTTTGTGAGATTTTGTCCTTACATTGTCCTTGTCAGCTGTTCTGCGCTGTTCGTCTCGACAATTAAGATACTCTTTCCTATAGTGATCCCGTTCCGCTTCCAACCGCTGAATTGACTGTTGCAACTGCAAAACGCGCGCATTTTCTTGAAATTACATTTTTTTTTCCACATAATTAGTCAATGTTTAAATAAACTACTTTGGACTTACGGACGCGATCGTTAGATTCGCTTCGTCGAGCCGTTTTTGCACATCGGAACTGTGAGCGGTGTCTCCATCAGTCGCCATCATTGCTTGATGATTTAAGTACCTATCGCTATTCTTGGACGCTGAAAGAAAATTATATAAAAATTTCAATGTATCTCTTTTTTTTTTTTTTAATAAAATTCCTGCGTAACAATCGTTTTTCATAAAAAAATATTCGTTCTTCACAACATTATTTTTAACATTATTGTGCTGTGTATTTAAAACTCGCTTTGCCATTAATACCACCAGATTTCCTCAACGTTTTTTTTTTCGCAGTATTTTGATTTTCGTTCTTTTTTCCGCTTTTCGTTTTTCGCGTCTCGTCAACCCTTTCGTCATTTTGCACGCTGTTCTCCGCGTGTTCTTGTAATCTAGTATCAATATTTTGCAATTGAACAATACCTTGTCTGAGATGCTCGTTTTCTCTAGTCAGCCTTTCTATTTCGTCGTTTAAACGTTTTTCTGCAATATTATATATATATATATTTTTTATTTTCTTCGTAAATAAAACCGACGAAAGAGACAAGAAATAAAACATTTAACTGTTTTCACATTACCCTTAATTGTCAATTGATTGATTCTGTCGGACATCTGTTTCTTTTCGTCCAGTGCATTTTCCAAAGAGCGTTGAACGTTGCGTTTCTCAAGTCTACACGCCTCGAGATCCGCTCTCAGCTCCTGTTCTTCTCTACGTTCCACGGTCAATTCACGTTCTAAGACGTGCACTTGTGTCATCGCATCGTCCAACTTTTCCTAAACAAGCATATGAACGTGTAAATAAAAATAAGACCGTAAGTGCATTCGTTGTGATTACCTGAAGTCTACAAACTCTCCTGTTGTTCTCCTTAACCGCGGAGTTGCAGTCGGCTTCCACAGCCAACGCAACATGATCCAAGTCTCTCAGTTCTTTTTCCAATTCCTCATTTCGCGCTGCTAGTTTCACTGCCTGAGACATAGCATCATGTTGCTTACTTAGTGCTTCTGCATCATTAAAAAAAGAATTGGGAATAAATCTGCCGTTCTTATACTCGTGATCGAATAGAATTGAGCTGTACAAATAAAAAAATCTACGTTGTAAAAATTTCTCAATTTTTTTACCTTTTAACTGTTGTTCCAACTCCAATTTGGCTTGGTGAAGAATCCTCACTTCGCTAACGTCCACATCGTGGATCGGGCCGGTCTTCTTTTCGATTTTCTTGCAAGTGCAATCCTTACTAACCGCGACGTAAGAACGACCACCTTCCAGCATTTTTTTCAGCCTGTTTATTTCCTTCTCCTTCGTAGCTAGCTGTAAAATTATTGTGACAGCGCGCACACGTTTGCATAAAAAATAATTGCACAATATTTGTGTATCATGTGTACAAAGATTTTATCATCAATAATTCTTGGTGCTTGTGTCAAAATACAAAGAATTATTAAATTATTAAGTAATACATTCGCACATGCAAAAACTGTCTGAGAAATACATATGTGTAAATATTGATGTTTACCTGTTTTTCAAGAGTGTCTACAGTATCATTTTGCAATATAAGTTCTCCCCGTAACTTTTTTATCTCCTGCTGTAAGCAGTTTATCTTGTGATCAGTTACGCTTAATAGATCAATCACTTTTGGCTCGACGTTGCTTAATTTCGGTAACGAGCTGGTGGTTTTTGCCCTGGGCATTGGTTCGACATCTAAGACCGATCTTCGAAGGGGAAAGGAAGGACGTTTCTTAGCAGCTGTAAGGATTTTTACAGATTCACATATTGTTATTTAAAACTACGAATTGTAGATAATATCAGATGTGTTTTTATGATCAAATATCAGAATAACTCACCAAGCCCGACATTGACAATGGTTGGCTTCAGACATTTGCCTTGGAGTTCCAGTATTTTTTTAGACTTGGCAGCCGATTCGGTCTCTAATTCTTTTATTTTATGTATATTACGCGATGATGCCAATTGCAGATCATTACATTCACATTCTAACTTGTGTACCTGTCTTTTCAGATCCTTGACTTGCTTCTGATTGGCTTCCCTAGCCTCTATCAGATCCGCGTGAAGCTGGTTGCATTCTTGCACCAATCTCGCGTTATCACACTTGTAAGGATCAACTGTTAATTGCAACTGATTACACGCCTGTACACAGCACGCAATATCATTGTCAGATGTGTGTACCAAATGGACATTTAAAAATTATAGGTTTTTGCTTCAGAGAAAAATCATCAGCAAGACGCTTCGCAGCGATCACTATTCGTTTACAAACGTCGATCATGATGACAGATATTGTTTTTGATCATTCGCTTGAAGTTAGCCAACATGTAATGCAATCGTCTCGGTTGTCACTTTTCTCAAGCAAAAACCATTTAAGCAAGTTCTTCGTTCGTACAAGTTCGCGCAACGTACCTCAATATTCTCCTGGGCTATAGCCTTGAAGTGCTTGAGACTGTCTGTGGTTTGAATGAGATCGGCCAGTAGATTCTCGATCAGAGGTAAAGCGTCCAACGACAACGTCTGTTTGTATCCCAGATTTTCGAGATGCTTCTTGACTCTGCGATATCTAACCGCGATGTTGTATTCCGCCTCGTCGTTCATTTTCGTCGGATAAATTTTTTGTACACAATTTTGCGCGCGTACACATTATTTTATTTATCACGTGAAATGGAGTCACGCCGATTTCACGCCGGTGGTCGCAAAACGTAACCTCGCGTCGTTCTTACAATTACACAGACTCGTTGGTGCAAACATTCCGTCGCTAAACGTTAATGACAAAGTGTACGAAACTTTATTGGCGCAAAGTAACATCGCAAATATACGCACGCCGCAAACAAACAACGAGCCGCTACCTCAAAACACAAGAGCGTTTCGAAACTCGGACGATCTCGACGGGGACAAATATTGTCCCCCTTCAATCGACACGGGATTAATTTTATTTCGCAAAATTTCAACGCGAAAATTTATTTAAAAAAAAAAAATCGCCGAGAGAATAAAATACCCGAACAAATTTATTTCACCGCGATCGGAGTCGTCGCCGCGCGTCCACGAGACTATCCCCTTTTTTCCCTGACATTTCCCCTCGCGAACTGTTCGTTTTCAAAGTCGTCGCCAACCCGACCACTGCCGGCAACTCTCCGCTCCGATTCTGTCCCTAGATCGGAAAATGACGGCGTTTCCTCGAACGTCATTCGGAGAAGAGCTCCGTGTCCGTGCGGAAAATGACGCAAATCAATCAAATCGAAAAACGAACGCGCGACCTTCCCGATCGAAGTTGTTGTTTGATTGACAACCGTTCAATTTCGAGATCGACAATAATCGCGCGATATTTCGCGTCAACTCTCTCGTTCCTCCGTTTTTCTCCTTCTGATCGCGTTCCAGAGAGACCGTCGCTCGACGGTCGCTCGCCGGCGTTTGCGAACGGCGGGCGAACTTCCGAACGTGACCGCGCATCGCCGGTTGTACTCGTGGGATTTTAACGCCAAAGCATGAAAATAGAACCTTGATAACGGCCGCGTGCGCGACTTCTGTTTATCAATAGAACCTAGAATAGAACACGAGGCAGTAGCGCACGGTCACACATTCGACGCTGATATAATCGAGACGGGACTTCGCGCGGCGACTGACGAGTGTAATTAAATCGCTTGCTGCTTTGACGACGACGACGACGACGACGACGACGAACGCCGGTGGTGGTATTTTGTTTTTTAATTTCTGGCGCAGAATTTTAATTAACGTTAGGTTCACGTGAAAGACGATCACGACGAGGTGATCGTCGACGTGGGATTGCAACGACAGACGAGTTGACGTCGTTCCAAAGTAGAAAAATTCACCCAGGCGAGAAGTTTTGTTGTTGTCGAAGCGAAATCTCCGATTCTGCGGCGAGATGGACTCCAGTTCGGTTGCCAATCCGACCAAGATACTCGCGCTGATCGAGGAACTGAACGATCTTCCGTACAAGGAGGTGCAACAACGGCTGAACAAATATGTACGTATATATATATATATATACATATTATATGTATCTACGCACATACATATATAATTACCGCGCAATTGCGTAGCGATCGGCGGGAATTCGCGTGCGATTTTTGAACGATCGGCGTCGCGACAAATCCGCGCGCCGATTGACCAATGGTGACTCGCGATAATCGCGAGTACGTTTCAAATTCAAACGTTTCGTCTGTGGTAGACGACGCGAACACGATAGAGCTCATGTTCGTTTTTTTTTAGCGTACTGTTAATTTGTTAAATTGCAAAAACAATCGATAAGAAAAGAGCTGAGTCAGCGGCACGGTGGATAATAATAATGAAATAAATCGATACTCGAAGAAACGTTCTCTTATATTCGAACGACTCGTCAACGACTTTCACAATGACACTTTTCAATAATATTGACCGGATTTGTTTTCTTCTGTTTAGATACAGAATGAGACAAGAGCAAAATTGGTGTTTCTCGCATTGCCGGAATCGAAGGAAATTCTCATCCACGTAATAGGTGAAGAAATTCTAGACAATGTGATGAAGTTACCTGTAAGTTTCTTCTTTTAGACAAATTTAGAAAAAAAATTTTTATATATTTGCAAATAAGACACAATTTGAATTTTTTTTGATTGATTGATTGATTGAAGCTTCATTTATTATGCGCTCTGGGAATAACATTCCCCTCAAGCGCAGAAAAACAAAGAAAACTATTTACATAATATCAGAAACTATTTACATAAACAAACAGAGAAAAGAAACAAAAATAAAAATAAAAATAATAAAAATAAAAATAAAAATAATAAAAGTAAAGAGTAAAAATAATAATAATAGAGAAATAATGAATAATGTATAAAGAAAACAAATAATAACAATAGATACAAAAATAAAATCAGAAATTGAGACAGTTAGTTAAGCATTTTACATACTGAAGAGAAATTATACAGTGTTAGATAATAAATAAATAAAGAGTTTACTGTAGAAGACACAGTAGGGTCTTTAAGGGAATTTAATAATTTTCAGACGCATAAATTTCCGCCCGTGTAATTTTGCAAACAAATTTAACTTTGCAGCGTGGCAAATAAGAGAAAATTGTTTTTCATTGTTCTCTCTCTTTTTTTTCTGTAGTTCATCGCATGTAGAAAAAAAATCTAATGCTTGTACATATTTCACATTTTTTTTTTTTTTATTTTTTTTATCAGTAAAATGCAGCCAGTTGTTGTAATGTATTGAACACTCTTCGAATTATCTGCTTACATACATATGTCCACTTGTGATAAAACGAGCAGATACGGAAGATTTTTTTTTTTTGCTGCACACTGCTAGAGTAACAATATCAGATAATGATGAACTTGTTGAAGTTTTTTTTTTCAAGTAACGTCGACACACACGTTTTTTTTCTCATTGATCGCGCTCGTCCGCGCGAAGACAAACTTGTGTGTGTTTGTTCATTTGTCCGTTTATTTATTAAGCGTACATTTTTTATTTATTCTCGGCGCAAATTTTCGAATTGTGTTTATGGCACGAAAACTACTTGTTTTTTTTTGCAGAACACTATTTTGTACAAGGATGTGACGAGCGATAAACCGTCGGTGTTTGGCATCACGACGCTTGATCAGGAGTTACTTAGATACATCAATAGAATAATGGAAGCAAAACCGCGATCCCTTTTGGTCATCCCGATACGACATCCCCTCAAACCCAACACGACTTTGCTCGTGTGTCTGGTAGATTATACCGGCGAGATCGACTCTAATAAAAAAATAGTTGAGGAATGCTATAGGTATTGTACACGGCAATGCAATTTTATTTGCCGATGAAAATTTTCTATTCTTCAAACATATTGCTCTCAAACACGTTCGCTATCGTCGATCGCTCGCGATCGACAAAAAAACTAACGCTTGTTTGCCATCTCAGAATCACGCTTTGGTTTCGTGCAAATCTTGCATAAACACATACTCTGGCATCTGTGTTTCACTAACACGCATATAAAATATATATATATATATATAATTATACAAATAGACATAGCACATGTATGACACTAGTCTCTCTCTCTCCCTCTCTCTCTCTCTCTCTCTCTTTCTCTCTCTTTGTCACACACGAAAAAAATCGGTGTGTTAATGTGACCAATTGGTGGTAGCGAGCGTGTTATTGCATTTTAAACGAAAATCTGCAGGTTCTGTCTTGGTTATTTGCTCAGTTCGTTACGTTGTTATGAGGAGGCACGTGTGAGGCAACAATGTCTGGATTTATTAGACACATCTGTGAATCTTTGCGCACATTTGTACGGTACGTACGATCAATCTTCTAACGTTTTCTTTTTTTTCTTCAACTATAAATTTTTTTTTCTTATCAATTTATTCTTCATTTATTTCCCTCAAGAAGAAGATCTTTCCGTTCTTTTGCGCAAGATTATGGCGGAAGCGCGAAAATTGACTAACGCGGAGGCGTTCTCCTTGTTTCTGTTGGATTCAAATAAACAAGAACTGGTCGCGGAGGTGTTCGACGGCTTTTCCTCGGAAGAAGTACGTATGGAATTCACATAGCGCGCGTAAATAAGCTAAGGATATAAACATTTTGTCACTATTGAAATTTCATGGTTTTGTGTGCTTTCAGAACGGAAGCGAAGTGAGAATTCCCATTGGAAAGGAAATAGCTGGTTACGTTACAAACACCGGCGAAATACTCAACATACGAGATGCGTACAGCAGCGAACATTTTTATCGCGAAATCGATGAGGCACCGGGATTCACGACTAGAAATATTCTGTGCTTTCCGATACGAAACGAAAAGGGAATTATTGGTAAAGTATACGTAGAAAGTTTTTTTGCAAATTTTGCACTTGAACTTTCAAGTTGCAATAAAAGTATGTGAGAAAAAAAAACAATATGCACTCTGCTTATAAGATTCTCACATTGTAGGAGTCGCTCAAGTACGCAATAAGCAGAACGGCTTGTACTTTGACGTCTTCGACGAGCAGATCGCGTCCGCATTTAGTTTTTTTTGCGGCATATCGATAATGAATAGCATCAACTACAAGAAGTTGCAGAACACTCAAAATCGATTCAAACTCAGCAACGAGTTGATGATGTATTACATGAAGGTGAATGCATGTCCTAAACAATTGTCGGATAATTAAAGTGAGTGATGTTACTTAATTCTCAAACTGGTTTGTGTTTACAGGTGAATGACTCGGATGTGGAAATGTTGCTGAATTGCCCGGACGGTCACAGTGTCGACGATCTCAGCAACTTGCACTTTAATCCTAGGAGCCTGCCGTCCGACCATCTGCTTTGCTACACCATCAAAATGTTCACAGATCTGGGCTTCTTCAACTACTGGGGAATCGAAAAGTCCACGCTCGCGAGGTGCTGTTGTGGAATAAAGTGACCGTCTTTTTATAATTTTCTAATATACTAAGTCATATCATATGTTTAGGTTTATATTGTACGTCAAGAAAGGTTACCGAGACACACTCTATCACAATTGGACGCACGCGTTCTGCGTGACGCACTTCGCGTATCTGCTGTTGAAGAACGCGAGGCTCGTCGAGAACAATTACATGACGCCCTTAGAAGCTCTGGTGTTTTTCGTATCGTGTCTGTGTCACGACATAGACCACAGAGGTACTACCAACTCGTATCAAACCAATGCGTCAACTCTGGTAGGGGCTGTTTACAGTTCCGAAGGTTCCGTCATGGAGGTAGAATCAAATGCTGTTTATATTTGTTGTTTGAAGAACTGTATTATTTTTGCTCTCGACTGAATAGCGAATTGCTTGTTCAGAGACATCACGTAGCTCTAACAATGTGCATTCTGAACACCGAGAACTGCAACATATTCGAAAGCCTGAGCCGCGACGAGTACAAAACAGCTCTGGAACTGTTGTCGAGCTACATACTCGCCACCGACCTGGCCACCCAGAACAGAGAGGAGCAAAAGAAAATGATTAGTCAGTACAACAAGTATGATCCGAAGCAAAAGAAAACGTTGTTCGGAATGTTGATGAATTGCTGCGATCTCAGTGATCACACGAAAGATTGGAAGAGTTCGAAAAACGTAGCGGTAACTTTCTTTTTGTAACAGTCTCGATAGATATATTTGTGAATTTGTTGAATAAATTTGAGTTTGCTTTTTTCTGTACCCAGGTAAAACAAGTATACAGCGAGTTCTTCAGGCAAGGAGACCTGGAGAAAAGCAAGGGCTACGAGCCTATCGTGATGATGGATCGGGAACGCGCGTTCATTCCCGATCTCCAGACAAAATTCATTTGCGAGATTGTCATTCCTCTCTACACGTAAGTAAATTCGACGCGCTATTTAATTATTACGTTCTATATAAATTTTAATTAATATTATAATAACGGCTCGATGAAACAATTATAAGACAAAAAACTAGAGAGTCTGTGTTCCAGGTTAAAAATGGACGGTCAAATGCAACATAAAACGCAGTGTATTCCAGTGTATTCCACGTTTTGATCATTTTTATTGGTGATCAGCACTGTTTACAATGTAAAAATAATAATATAAATTAACAGAACACCCCAAGAGACTAATCTCAGAAATGTCGCACATAAAAACACAAAAGGCGGATGTTAATTTAATGAAAGATACCTTCTTGATACTATCTACACTCCTGTTCTTAAGAAGCTTCATTAGTCACGTGTTGTTTTTCCTCTCCTCCTTCTCTTTAGTTTTCGAGTTTGATTTTAGGTGCATACATATTTATTCAAAAACTTATTTCTTTTTTGTATGTGTCTTTCTATTTACCAGATATTTTTTATATTATTATTTTTACATTGTGAACAATGCTGAAGATGATCACCAATAAAAAATTGATCAAAACGTTTGGAATACATTACGTTTTATGTTGCATTTGATCGTCCACCTTTAACCTGGACCACATGGTTTTTTGTCTTATATGATATATAAATTTTCTTTTCCATTACATCTTATTTCATCTTTCAGTAATCTGTCATTGTTGTTCCCGTCGACTTGGTCTCTGATCGACGCGCTGGAACTTAATCTTTCATTATGGGAAGTAGCCAAGTCTTTGGTTAAAAAGTACTCCGTATCCGGAAAGAAAAGCTTAGATATATTGCTCGATCCCGAGTTCGACGACGAGGTACTTAAAATGTACGCGAATCGAAATCTACCGTGAATCAACCGTGTTAGACTTAAAATCGTGGATAGAACGATCCACAGCAAAAGAAATGGGAAACAGAACGTGAATTACTAACATGAATAAGGAACTTAAAAATGTAATAAAAATTCTCACAATTCGACAGGCGCATATGGAAAAATATATTGTTGCACTCGCAACCAGAGATGCCAGATTCTGAACACTTGGTAGCATGCGGTAGCATGGAGGGGATGCGCACACAACCTCAGATCGTGTACGTGTGCGCTCGAGCTTCGGGCGCGATCGCACACGTACACGATCTGAGGTTGTGTGCGCATCCCCTCCATGCTACCGCTGCTACCGCATGCTACCAAGTGTTCAGAATCTGGCATCTCTGCTCGCAACATGACTACAACGTTTGTTGCCAAGCGACGAACAAACGCACGCTACGCGTGGCGTAACAATATAATGCGAAGTAACGGCAATTCGTTAAGTTCCACTTTGTAAATAATGACGATTTTTAGAGAATTTATAGTTTTACAATCATTTATGTATATATATATATATATATATGTATGTGTATGTATGTATGTATGTATGTATGTACGTATGTATGTATGTACATATGTATGTTTGTATATATGTATGTATGTATGTATGTATATATACATATGATCTTTGTTGTTTTTCTTTTTATTATATACAATACATATAATAATATATATAATATAATTATATATGTATATATATATATATATATATATATATATATGTACAGGGTGTCCGAAAAGTCCTGAACCATTTTTTTCTATTATATATAATAGAGTAATTATTGAATAAATGAAGATATATAATAAATGAAGATGTGAACCACACGCCTGGTGTTGTTCGTGAGCGCTTCGCGCGGCTCACTGACGTGCGCCCGGCTAAAAATCGACGCTGATATATTTTGGCTTGATTTATTCAATAATTACTCCTTTATTATATGTATATAATAGAAAAAAATGCTTCAGAACTTTTTTTGACTCACAATCAGTTTTACTCCTTCTGTCTACGAGAGATTTTACACTAATTCGAACACCCTGTATATAATAATAGTATATAATATATATCCAAGAAAAAATTGAAAACGTGTGATCATATAACGTGTCGGATTATATATGAGTCTCGGGTATAGTTTTATATGATCATATAAGATTTTATACAAGTCAGATGTGATTTCATGTGATTGTGTAAAATTAAATCCGAAATTTGGCGCGATTTGATTTTAGAAATATAAAATCATATATAAATGATTGTGTATAAATATAGAAAATCGTGTATGATTATATAAAATTAGATCCGAAATTTAACGCGATCTGATCACTTATATATAATCTTATATGATCTCATGTTTTTATTTTTTCTTGAGTATATATTATTATATATATAATAATATACACACACACACATATATATATATATATATATATATATATATGTATACACATATATATATAATAAAAAGAAAAACAACAAAGATCGATTTTATAAATCTACTTCGTGGACGTGTTAAATTTCCACTTTATCTCGCGAACACTCGAAAAATCAAAATGAAAAAAAACTGTGATGTTCTATAAGCAATGTTGTTGCACTCTACTGTAAGATAGATATAGTTCGTTTTTAAACAGTAGATATTGTAAAAAAGAGAGAGATTATGATCAATTGGATTGTGCACTGCCAATTTATCTACGCTGCACGTTGCATATCGTTGAGAGAAATCTGTGTTGATATGTTTTAAAGATGTATTTTAATGTTTCACTTATTTATTAATAATGTGTGTATATGCGTGCAAAAAAAAAAAGATACTTTTATATGTACTACGACACAATGCTGATACATATGTGTTATTAATTGTGCTATGTAATTATTTATTACGTGAATCTATCACGCGAATTATTGCACTATGTTTCATGTGGAAATATGTTTACTTTAATTTTTTATGTTTTCTCACAGACGTTACCGAGATGCGATTTAAATGTGATACAAATTATAAACGGTGCTGTTTATACTAAAAACATTATATACATATATAGATGTAAATAAATTGTTTTCTTGTACAGAGCAAATAATAATTTATAAAGAGAGAAACAAAATAAAAATATTTGAACAAACTTGAGACAAAATTATTCAATCTAGAAGTAATTTTCTTGCTCAATTCCGCACGGACAACAAATGTAGAAAATGAAACAACGTTATGAGAATTACGATTTTATTATTATTATTATTATTATTATCCACTATCGCCAGTGGATCGCAACTTTAAGATTCAATTTAAATATATATTCTTACATTTTATTACACTACACTATTCTTATCAACTATACATATGTATATATAAAGTTATTTAGAAAACATTACAACAACTTTATTAATCCTTATCGTTTTGCAGGTGTATCTACAAATCCATTTGACATTAAAAAAAAAAAGCACACGTAAGTAATCGTATTCTTGCATCGCAAACGTCTCTCGAAAACATTGCTGAATCAATCATTTCCTCGAATTTTCTTCTAAAGTCTGCGGACGTAATCGTCTCAGATTCAAGGAAAACCGTCGTCGTCCTCCTCGGCCATCTCTTTGGCCAGTTCCAGATCCTGTTGCTCACGCTCGCGTCGTTCCTCCGCGGACTCGAGGTCCTTCCCGTATGACTTGGGCGGATAACGCATCGCCTTCACACTCTGATTGTGAAGGTCGAGACAGAAGGTGATTCTCTGATGGAAGGCCAGCAACGGCTCTTTGGTGCAGTAGATGTCCGTGGTCTCTTTGCTGCGCATGAAACCGCTCTCCGGGTCCAGAATCGCCTCGATCACGCCGTCGCGAATCGCCTTCGCGACGATGAACTCCGCGTCCACGCTCGAGTCCAGGCCCAGTTTGCGCGCGATGTCCGCCGGCGAGATGCGCGAATACGAGAGCCCGATCGAGCGTATCGCGGTCTTGATGACGTTGTGACGTAGCCGCAGAATCAACGTGAACGTGTGATCCGCCCGGAACTGCGGTCCGAAGTTCTCCAGGACCTCGCCGAAACGCTGCAGATTGCCGAGACGCACCGCCTGCGTCAACTGGAAGTACGGCGCCAGCGCGCGGCGTAGAGCCGCTTGTCGGAATATCTGACGCTCCGGAATGTCGCCCAGGAGCAGCTCAACCGTGACCGCGAGTTTCTGAACGGTCTGTCGAAATCCCACCGCCGTTGTCTGCGGCGCTTTGCGCATCGCCTGCACCAGAAACTTGTGAGCGGCCGAGTACTCAAGTCTGGCTGCTTTTATTCTGCCGTAGTAATAGAGAAATCGTGCCCACTCGTTGTTGCTGGCCGATTCCGGAAAGGTGGACTTGAGCACCAGCTTGTCCGCTTGATCGTACAGATTGTAATTTAAATAATTACGCAGCAGACAATTGATCAGCACCGCCTGGCCCTCGAAGTCGTTTCGCAACGTCGCGGTGCGCAAACGGAGATGAAGAAAGCCTCGGATCTTGTCCAGCTGATTCGTCAGTTCGTACGCACGTGAGTGATAGAAGTAACACTTGGCGGCGACGAGGTCTATGGTGCGGCGATTCTGCGCGGCGAGCTTCTGGACAAGCGTTTCGGAGCACTGCACCGCCTCGTTGTACTTCCTGGTGTCGATGAGCCTGATCAGTACCAGCAGATGGATGTAACCGTCGATCTCCGGCAACAGCGACGACGAGGAGCTGCGAAACTTCTGAATGATGGCCTGGTTGTCGTCGATGTCCATCGGCTCCTCCACCCAGGCAAGCAGGGCGTCGCGCTCAGCCGCGGATTTCGTGTAAAAGGCCGTGATGAGACCGCGCAGCACGACGGGATTCAGACGACGACGGGTGTTGGGCAGAGCGCGCAGGGCGCGCAGCACGAAGCGCGGTTCCTTGTTCTGCACCGCCTTCTCGATCTGTCGCGTGTGCTCGCGGATGTCGTGCAAAGTCTGCATGTCGGTGTCCTTGCGCTCGCCCGCGCCGTCTCCGTCGCCGGTTTGCGGGTCCGACGGATTCACCGGATCAACTTCCATCGCCTCGACGTTTCTCCCGCTCGGCACACCCATCCTAATCCTCTCTCTCTCTCGAGCTGCCCGGTTCTCAACAACGACTTCCTAACCAACGCGCTTTGTTAACAGAACGGAGTATCGTCTCACAATCTGATTTCCCAACTTCATGTGTGCCTAGTCACGCAACGTTCAGTGGAGGTTAGGGCCGTTCTCGTTCATTGGTGCGCAGCGTGCGTTCCGAAATTGCGGGTAGGTACTGAAAACAAAAACCACGATGTGAGAAGAGACGCGCGGTGTTTGACCAATCAAAGAGTTGCCTCGAGTATTGAGAAAACACAAAAGATGTGAACGAACATTTTCGTTTAATTCTGGACAAAATGATTTCTTTCGCAAAACTTTTAATAATAACATCTAGATTTTTCAAAACCATGATGTAAGAAGACAGTGAATTTCGCGCTCTATTCGAGACAACAACTTGATTGGTTGCGCCGTAATTAGACCGCCATTATGAGCAATAATACACCTTGTCTTTTTACATAAAAAAAAACTTTCTAGCTACAGGTTGGCAGTAGTGAGGTTAGGTTCGAAACTCGGAATAAAATCGAGAAATCTCGAACGGAGAGAGAGTCGATGAGTCGCGCTCGAGCATTTGATTGCGCGAACCTAACCTTAATCTAACCTAAGTAGCTCGTGTGCACAATGTATCCGGAACAGGTTCATCTCCGGAGAGAACTGTAGCTGATAACCAATAGTAATCAACTGTTAACAAAAATTTTTTGTTATCGTTTGTTGCCGTTTTGTCCGTACAAAAATTCGCAAACACACGTTTTCGGTAACGAATACGGTACGTACATCGACATGCCGATTGCCTTCGGTATTTTGACCTCGCCGGTTCGAATTGCGTCTCAATAACAATGGCGGTTGCCGCTTCGCGGGTAGACGAGTTGATAAATTATTTCAAGTCGCACAACAAGATCCGCGAACAACAGAGTCACTCGGCGAAGGTGCACAGTGTGGGATGGAGCTGCGACGGCAAATACCTGGCTTCCGGATCATTCGACAAGTCCGTTTGCATATTCTCTCTATGTCCCGATCGCTTGGTTAGTAAACATTCTGCGACAGTGTTGCGTCACGTTTGAACGATGAGAATTTTCTCACGTAAATGCGATTAAATTTTTCTTGACAGAAACAAGAAACAACATTCAGAGGTCACGGAGGTAGTGTGGATCAACTGTGCTGGCACGCTTTCTCTCCGGAGTTGCTGTCCACAGCAAGCGGCGACAAGACAGTCAGGATCTGGGACACGAGGGTGCAGAAGTGCACGGCGAACATCAGCACCAAAGGCGAGAATATCAATATATCGTGGTCTCCGGATGGTAACACAATCGCAGTTGGGAACAAAGAGGATCTTGTTACCTTTATTGACGCTCGTGTGATGAAGATACGCGCGGAAGAGCAGTTCAACTTTGAGGTGAATGAGATAGCGTGGAACAAGGATTCCGACACGTTCTATCTGACAAACGGTCAGGGTTGTGTGCACATACTCAGTTACCCGGAGCTGGACTTGCTGCATGTGATCAAAGCGCATCCGGGAACGTGTATATGCATAGAATTCGATCCAACTGGGAAATATTTCGCAACCGGATCAGCGGACGCGTTAGTCTCTTTGTGGGACGCGGACGAGTTGTGTTGTCTGAGGACGTTCTCGCGACTCGAATGGCCAGTGAGGACCATTTCCTTCTCGTTTGACGGTCAGTTGTTGGCGGCCGCCTCCGAGGACTTGGTCATTGATATCGGTGAGGTGCAGACTGGTGAAAAAATCACCGATATTTCCGTGGAAGCGGCAACGTTCACTGTTGCCTGGCATCCGAAACAATATCTTCTTGCCTACGCGTGCGACGACAAAGATACTTACGATCGAAAACGAGATGCGGGTAGTCTAAAGGTGTTCGGTTTTGCGAACGACTGAACCTTTGTTTTATGTTTTGAAATCTAGAATATATAAAAAGAAATAAGAAAATGGCAATAACAAGCTAACACATAAGAGTTCGGGGTACAATTTTTTTATCAATTGCCATTTTCTTATTTGTTTTTATCAAAATATTCAACAAGCTGAAAACATACAATAGAATATGTAAGATATTTTTATATATTTTTTTATATAAACTAAACTTGGGTGTTTAACAAAATGAATGGATCATTTCCATCTGGAATATGCGGAATAACAGAATTTTTGTAAGGGATATTTTATTAAATTTCTTTTCTTTGCTTATTTCTGCAAATTTATAATTTGAAATATTATTAAGACCAAGCAATGGCAATCGGTCACGTGCAAAAGTCATTTTTGTAAATAATCTCACGACATTTATGCGAATAATGTGTATCTAAAATATATATGGAACGACGAGAAAAATGACTTTTTTTTTTATAATCGTAATAGGAAAAGTTTGTAAATATACGTATTTTGTATTGAGACAATAAAACAACATGTGAGAATGAAAAAAAACGAAATGCGGTTTGAATGCCCGATGACTGTATGTTCTTGTTAGGCCGCTATATGTATATTTGATTGAGTTGATTGCATATGTGCGATTTATTGATCAAAACTAGACTCTCGGAGGAGTTCTAGTTATAATAAACGTGTGTAAAAAATTTGTGTTGACAGCGCGGTCGGCATGGTTACCGCAATCGGCTCGAATTTTCCCGAGCCACGTGAGACACGTCACACGTCTCATGTGACGCTCATATGAAGATCGTCGGCAGGAACTTCGAGTTCCTTGCTGCGCCTTGTTTCGCTCTTCTCGATGATCCTTTTTGTCTCATTATGGTGAACCCTGACGAAACGGTGACCTGCGAGTGTCTCTACACCGCCGGAGGGGACGCGCGGGTGAGGGAATGCTTCAGCATCCCCAACATACACGAGATCGACGAGGAGGACAGCGAGACCGAGGAAACCGAAACGACGGAGCAGACCAATTGCTCTCCTCCCGTTAAGAAAGACGAAGAGAACGCAGCAGCGGAGACGCAAACCGCGTTGAATAACGAAGTGTACACCGAAGACTCATTCTGTTCCGACGAATCGTGCGAGGACGAAGACACCGACGTTACGTCGAGGTCGCTGACTTCATCGTTGCCCTGCGTCGCTGACGTTCAGCGTAGTCGGAGCTCGAACGAGCGGGAGATCGACGAGTCCAAGTGGCAGGACGACGGGTCCTATTCGCTGGGCGATCATCAACATGTTCGCGCGGCCACGGCGAGCAGACTCGTCAACAGATCGAGAAAGTGCAGACGGTGGAACATGAGCTTCACCGACGACGAGATGCGCAAGATCGAGAGAGAAAACGAGCTGCTGCTGAGGAAGATCATGGCGCAGCAGAAACCCCGGCACAGAATCGTCGACGAGCACACGGCGCAACCCAGAACCAGCAGTTCCGCGATAAACAGAAAGAAATTGCAGAAGAAGATTGAAAGTGACAATATGGTACGTAAGTTCCTTCTCGATTTCAGGTAAAGAGGATGTCGAACTTTTGACACGCGTTTGTGCGACTGTCCTTTCTAGCAGTTTTTTTTTTTTTTTTCTTTTCTTTTAATTACATGAGAAGTGGCAAAACTTGTAAAAATTTCTTTCCAGCTGCTTCTCAGGAGGATACAACAGGCGAAGTCGTGCGTGTTCTCGAACGCGTCGAAAATGGGTTGCAGGTTGACCTTTTTGTAGGATTTTTATTACATTTCGAAGAGACTTGATATATTTTTTTACATTAGAAAAAAAAAAAAATCAACCGCGCACACACGCAGTGGCGTAGAAGAGGGATGTTACTTGTGTGTGCAACATGAATCAATATAACAATAATACACAAACACACTGAAAAATGTCACACACGCACGTGCACTTATTCCTTTTACCTCGTCACTTGAGTCGACACGGGGATTTACTCGCTTCGTTTTCGAGCGCAAAAAAATTACAGCGTAATTTTTGTGACTTCTTTATTAAAACACAACGATTACCAGTCTTGAAGAATAGGTACACATTTCTCTTCATTTCATACTTTTGTTTTTTTGTTTTTTTTTGGTTTTTTTTTTGTTTTTTTTGTTTTGGTTTTTTTTGTATACGGCGCCGCAACCTTGTAAAACTCGTCTTGAAAATTTGCTTGAAAGTATGTCTACAAGTCAAGACTATAAAAAATCACAGTTCTCACTCATCTCAAATATAACTTAATTATCACTCGCGTAAGGTAATATATATCAAGATCGGGATTCTCGAGTATTTCGATAGTGGTTTGTTTTTTCTTCCTTGTTTTTTTTTTCTTTTGCATCGGATGGTTACACGAACGGTATGGCGAGAGAAGAGAACAATTGTGTGTATGTGTACATGTATGTGTGTATGAATGCGTGTGTGTGTGTGTGTGTGTGCTGTAGTTGAAAGGAGCAAATTACAAATTTCTGTATAAGCCACATATATATATAAATCGTACAGAGTTGTCACTTTAAATTAACGTGTGCTCTCTTTTTCTGATTACATTATTACAATAAGAAATCGTATTTCTTTTTTTTTTTTATTATTATTATTATTATTATTTCTCTTTTTGTTTTACGTCGACGATTCTGCAATTTCACATATACTATTTTTTTTTTTATCTTTTTTTGTTTTTCATTTCACTGCAATGAAATGTGTGTTGCGATTA